ATACATAATGGTCAAAGTGTTATGAGCTTGACACACAGATCCATTCCTCTTATGATTCATCACCTCCACATATACCACCCATATAAGACATCCTTGATGTATCTATTCCTCATGACCTGTTGTTCTAATCAACAACGATAGCCCTCCAACTTCACCTATAGAGGAAAATGTCACCATTACAATAGTAATGCTAGATGTTCAAGATGATAAAATACACAATCATGGTGTTGAAAATATTGCCAAGTAAGAGACCAATCAATCTAATTTTTTTCCAGCCCTTGAGCATCATCGTCATCACATGATCACAAAAACTCAAGATGGTACTCGAAGACCTCAGGTTCTCCCATCCATGACAGCAATCTCAAGTTCTTCCACTTTTGATGCTATTCCTTCTGAACTTAAATCCATTAAGTCTGCCTTAGGTCATCCAGGTTCGTATTGTGCGATGGAAGAGGAAATTGAAGTCCTAGATGTTAATTCAAGTTGAGGTCTAGTTCCACATCTTCTGGGTATGAATATTGTTAGTTGTCTTTGGGTCTATAACATTAAATTAAAGCCTGATGGCAGTCTAGAGAGATTTAAGCCTAGACTAATTGTTAAAAAATATAATCAAGCTGCTGGAATTGATTTCTCTGAGACATTCAGTCCTACTATTAAACATGTTAGTATTCGGATTGTGCTCACCTTAGCTATTTATGCGCCACTAGCCTATCAAACAACTTGATGTAAGAAATGTTTTTCTGCATGGCTTTCTTAAGGAGCCTATATTTATGGAACAACCTTCTAGATTTGTGAGCTCAAACATCCAATCATATCTGCAAATTAAAAAGAGCTTTATATGGTCTCAAGCAAGCAACTTGGGCCTAATTTGATCGATTTAGCGTTGATTTATTATCATTTGGGTTTTATTACAGCATAGTCGATTCATCATTATTTGTTTTTCGCATTACTCAATGTATTATTATTCTTCTCCTTTATGTTGATAATGTTATTGTTACTGATGATAATTCACATTGTCTAGAATATTTCATTTCCTAACTTGGAAGGGAATTTGTAATGAAAGACCTTGAACCTCTACACTACTTTCTTGGGAGTGGTTGGGAAGTGATTGAATGTGGGTGAGCAAGGCCAACACATGGAGGCGTTGGGAAGTGATTGAATGTGGGGGAGTGAGGCCAACACAAGGAGGGGTTGGGAAGTGATTGAAAGTGGGGGGCCCAGTCGTGGAAAAAATTTTGAAAATTTAAAAACAATGGAATCAAGTGAATTGTATGATTTTTTGATATAATTGGTATGGACAAACCCAAACCGACTGGTTCTTGGGGGCCAGTTCTTAATATAATGACCGAACTAGATCGCCCTAATTGATTTTCGATCCGAATCGAATAATTCTAATATGGATCGCAGAATTTTAAAACATTGGTTTTGATTCTCCAACAATGGTTGCTATTAATTATGTTTAATCTTACTTTGAAAACATATAACCATTGATTGATTTTTTTTTGGCCTTCATTTGCTCTTATCATTTTTGCCATTACCTAAATTTGAAATTGTTACTAGATTATATATATATATAAGCTACTACGCAACGTCTATAGGCAAAAATGAACAGTGTTTTTACCCATAGGCTCCATGCCGTCCGATTGTTTTGGACGGCGTGGATTAAAAGACCGCAACGGACCACAATGGATTAAAAAATGAAAATGCAGTGTAATGAAGGTTTTGTAGGACATGTCACATCACTCCAACCATTGGATGCTAACAAGTGACAGACACATAGTGTTGTTCCCTTATTCATAATCCGGCAAAAGTTTCTCACCCTCAGCCATTTTCTATCGACATTGGATGGCTATTGTGGTGTATGTTCCATAATCTTCACTATGCACATTGTTTTTTAACCCGATAAATGCATCTAATCATTAAAAACTAATAAAGAACCTACAAATTTTTATGATTTTGAGAAAACTCGTTGCAGACACCCTATTTTAGTTGGCTGGATTTCAAGATGTTTAGGACCTAAAACACAGAATCAAAACCTAGGAAAACGCTATACCTAGTCATAACAACTTGCCTAAATTAGGCTATTTTATATTTAAGTAAGTATAAATTCCATGAGCTTTCAAATGATCACGGCATAATCTAGGGGTATTTTGAAAATTGAGCTTGAAAAGGGTTAAGAAC